CCAAAAAAAAAAAAAAAAAAAAAAAAAAAAAAAAAAAAACGTTGAAAAATAAATAAATAAATAAATGTAAAAAAAAAATATGTAAAAAAGCAGCTGTATGCTATTGAGAATGTGCCGTACAATTCCTCCATTTGATCAGCAGAATGGATAGAAGTCCCTTTGCCTCATCCGGGATTTGTTTCTTGCCTGCGAATTGCATGAAAACCTATTCTGGGTCTTCATTGCTCACACCTGACTTTGCAGATGTACCCGCCCTGAGTCATTCCTGTGGCTCAGATTCATGATTCTAAACCAGCCTTACATGAAGGTGACTTTGTAATAGGTCGGGGATAGACAGAAAAGTAAAGAGGAAAAAGGTGGAAAATACAGGTTTTGAAATTAATCAGGGATTTATTTAAAAGGACAAGCTACTGTTACGTCACTGATTATGGCAATAGAAAACAACATCATATTTTTTTAACATGAGGCAAATTCAGTATTTTAAAATAAATCCTGTAGGAATAAAATATCACTTAGACTCCTCAGAGGTGGGATTATTACTTTCCTTCTAGCATGGGTGAAAGTCATGGAAATGTTTATTTCCCTAAATTTTTTTTGCTTGCCTTCTTTCCTCTTTCAGATAACAGGACAGTCTGACTTATCAGCATAGAAAAATATTTCTGTCAGCATTCGGAGAACATGGGGTAAGTGTAAAAGGAGAGTGGTTATGTCAGGCTACACTTTTAACCTAAGCCTGGACACCAAGAGCTGTGCTACATTTAAAAAAAGAAAAAGCTTGCTTAGGCTGTCACTCTAATTAACAGTTGATAAAGTACAAACATCTTAGCACATCACATAATAGGCAGATTGTGCCCTTTGACGGGCAGCAGAAACCTCACAAGAAAATATTACACTGAGGGGGCATGTGAGTGGCTCAGTCGGTTAAGTGTCTCACTCTTGATTTTGACTCAGGTCACCGTCTTACAGTTCGTGGGATCAAGCCCCTCGTCGCGTTCTGTGCTGACAGCTTGGACTCTCTCTCTCCCTCTCTCCCTGCCCCTCCCCCTCACACACACACACACACACACACACACACACACACACACATACACACACTCTCTCTCTCTCTCTCTCTCAAAATAAATAAAATCACTTAAAAAATATTTCATTGAATGTGAGGATTAAGGTAGAAAACATGACTTTAAGTGGGAAGGAGGAGATAAAACCCTCTTGCTATGGCAAGACACCTTTTTCGTTCAGCTGGAAAATGATACCATTCAAAGTAACGGTCCACCCATGTATCATGTCTTCCTTGAATTATGGTCCTGACATGATATGCTCATCTCCCAAAATAGAGCGCCTGTCACCACCTTCGAACTATATTCAGCTCTAATGAGAGGCAACGCACAGAAGTTGCTCTTAGGTTCAGTCGAATCCCCAATCATTTGAAATGTTTGAGCGCTTTAATTTTAAAATAAGAATGTTTATGTATGAATTCCAAAGCCTTGACTGCAACTTCACTTTTCAGTAGAAATCAATATCTCCTGTAGTAGAAAGTAATATCCCTAGGAGCTGAATCTAAAACTCTCAGCATAAGAATACATACAAAATACAGAATTAAAAATTGGGTGTTTTTTTTTCCTATTCCAGATACACACTTTTAACCAATGCCCTTGTTTTTTTTTTTTTTTTTTTTCTATATCTCTTTTTAAAAAAATTTAATTCCAGTCTAGTTAGGATACAGTGTTGTATTTGTCTCAGATGTACAATATGGTGATTCAACACTTCCATACACCATCAGGTTGCTGATCGCAGGTGTACTCCTTAGGTACTTAGGTACCTCACCTACTTCACCCATCCCCCCCACCCACCTCCCCTCTAGTAACCATCAGTGTGTTCTCTCTAGTTAAGAGTCTGTTTCCTGATTTGTCTCTTTTTCTCCCCGCTTTGTTCCTTTATTTTGTTTCTTAAATTCTACATATGAGTGAAACCGTACAAACAGTGTGTGATTTTGAGCGATGATTTTTCAAAACGTGAAATGGGGGGATGCCCGGAGGCTCCGTCAGTTGAGGGTCAGACTCTTGATTTCCGCTCAGGTCGTGCATGACCTCATGATTCCTGAGATCCAGCCCTGCTCGGAGCCTGCTTGGGATTCTCTCTCTCTCTCTCTCTCTCTCTCTCTCTCTCTCTCTCTCTCCCTCTCCTTCTGCCCCTTCCCCTCTCATGCACTCTCTCTCTCTCTCTCCCAAAATAAATAAATAAATAAACTTAACAAGAGAGTGAAATGAATGCATTTTCCGTAAAAGAAAGGAGGTCTTCAAATGCGTCTGGCGTTCGCAGTGTTGGAGGGTCACGGTATATTATTGCATGTTGGGCATTAACTTTGTGTTGCTGGAGGCCTCCGCCATTTTGCACACTGCCACTGTGCTCCTTATGTTTGAGCGCAGAAAGAATTCCATTTGGAAGACTTTGAAACAGGGGTAGCTATCATGGCTGGCCGCCACTGGAAATTGAAATCGTGACTTTTTCTCTTGGTAAAGGTAGTCCGAACCAAAGGATTTCCACGAACAAACTGTCGCTGTAATGTGTCTCTCCGTTTTCCCTGTTAGCTTCCATTCTGGTCTGTTTGGAGATTCTCCCACGTTGTCTGGACTCCACATCATGCACCCTGGCCTCACTGGGAGAGGGGTAGTAGTAACTCTTAGTGTGCTGCACCTGAGTCCACCTGCCAGACACTAGTCCTCACCCCTGCCAGCTCCCTCTAGGTAACACCCATTCTCTTTCCTTCAGGCCCAAATGTAAATCCCTTGTTGCTGCAACTTTCTGTTCTCTGGAGCTCCTGAGTTGGATGGGGTTGGGGGCAGGGAGGTAGGGAGCCATGCTCAAGTATTCATGAATGATAATGAGTTCATGAGTTGTCCATCTTGCTAGGACATTTGCATACTTTTATGGGTCATCTGGGAAAGATGCATTTTCTAGTCTTAGAAAAACCAGAAAGTTTAATAAGGTACATTGTTTTGTTTTGTTTTTTTTTTTAAGGGTGTCCTATGGCCAATCACATTTGGAAAAACTACACATTTATGCCCGTTATTGGAGATTCATAAGACTTTGTAGTTTTTCCAAGCCCGGGTAAGTTCTACAGTAAAGACAGCTGTTCATTTAAACCTGGGATTTCCCCACATTTATGAACATTAGTGAAAATACCTGTCTGTGTGCATTTTTGTTCTTTGTATAATGACTATTAATGCTCCCTGGAGAACACACTTAGAGATATACTTCATTATTCCAAAGTTGTGATTTGTCTGCTGGTGTGAATTTCAGATACCGTGGTGGCACCTTGAGTAAGCATTTTGGAATTAGATTTTCTTTCAATTTCTCTCTCTTTTTAAAAAGTTTTTATTGATTTTTTTGAGAGAGAGAGAAAATGAACAGGGTTGGGGCAGAGAGGGGGACAGAGGATCCGAAGTGGGCTCTGTGTTGATAGTGGGGCTCAAACTCACAAACGGTCAGATCATGACCTGAGCCGGATGCTTAACAGACTGGATCACCCAGTCAGTTCAGTCTTTCACTTCTTCTAACATCACGCTATCCCCACAGCTGTCTCCTCTGCCTCTGAGTATTTGGCTTTCTTATCCAGTTTACTGTGTGATCAGTTCTGGTTTTAAGTTTGTGTAGACAAATCATTCACCTGTTATTGACATCATCACTGTACTTAAAGTTCTCTTCAGCAGCCCATTCAGGAAGAGGAGTGTGTATTTAGACAAAGAAAGCGTCTATTTTCTGCCTACAGACAAAGGCCTTACCTTGTTTCCTCTTGCCAAGTTTCACCCATTTCTCTTCACGTGGAAAAGGGGGTCTGTGATGTCCAGGGTTGTTGCCTTGAGCATGTAAACGCCCCCAGATCGAATCCTGCAGGACCAGCGATGGTGGCTGTACTGTAGAAAGATGAGGCAGACCACATTTTCCTGGCTGAGAGTCCCCACTGTTGGAAAGCTGGGTGGGGGGTGCCATGGTTGCTTCTGATGGGATCAAGTCACCATTTCAAAGCTGAGCTGGCCAAACCTACGGGCCTCCAAAACCACTTGCTTTGATTGGGGGCAGTTTCTCTGCATTGTTTGGGGACAGAACAGAAGGGCCCCATGCAGGACATCACATCTTTCTCAGTGCTTCTGACCTAGCAGTGGCAGTGCCACTTTCCACTTAGGATCTTTTTGACCAGTCCATCAGCGACCCAGTCTGGACTGTGTACCTCCTCTTGACCTTGGGGGTTAGTGTCACCTGGTGAATCCGAGCCTTATTGGAGAGGTCATCAGGAATTTTATTCCTCTGTAAATTAGGCTGGAAAGAGGTTGGAAAGAGGAACATGAATAGAAGCATAAATGTGGGGCACCTGCGTGGCTCAGTCAGTTAAGTGTCTGACTCTTGATTTCGGCTCAGGTCATGATCTCACAGTTGTAAGTTCGAGCCCCACATGGGGCTCTGAGCTGAGTGTGGAGCTTGCTAGGGATTCTCTCTCCTTCTCTGTCTGGCCCTGCCCCACTCACATGCTCTCTCACTCTCTCTCTCTCAAAATAAATAACCATCAAAAAAAATAAAAGCGTAAATGCTATCAGTTGAAACTAGGATGTATAATTTCTTGTCTAAAAGTAAGTAGTGTGTCCTGCTTTATAAAGAAAATAATGCTCTAACAATTTACTGAAAAAAGGTAGTTTTGTCCATCAAACCATCATTTGAGAATATACAGGGGAAGGTATTATTTTCCAAAACCAAACCAAAGCTAAAACAAATTAAAAATGCAGGAATTGGAGAACAAAAAACACACATTAGAATCTTAATGTTTGCCCTAAAACAATGAAAAAGGTAGATCTGTGTACATTTTTTTTTTTTAGCTTTAACATGATTTTTAAAAAATATTGCATAGGGGCACCTGGGTGGCTCAGTCAGTTAAGCATCTGACTCTTGGTTTCGGCTCAGGTCATGACCTCACATTTTGTGACTTCGAACCCCACGTCCGGGTCTGTGCTGACAGCACTGAACCTGCTTGGGATTTCTCTCTCCTTCTCTCTCTCTGCCCCTCCCTGGCTAGTTCTCTCTCTCTCTCTCAAATAAATAAATAAATAAATAAACATAAAAAAATTGTTAAAAAGTATTGCTCAGAGATTTCAAACATTACTCATAAAAGCAGATTAGAGACAATGCTTAATTTCTAAAAGTGTAGCTTAAAATTTTTTAATTTTAAATATAAATTTAAAAATGTATAGTATTTAACTAACTGAAAGCTCTGATGAACTCCACTGAGTCTCAATTTGCTCCTCTGTAAAAGAGAATGTAGACTGGGCATAGAGTAAGTTTCATGGGTTGTAATAATGTGAAAGCATTTTATAACAGAAAAAAATAAGCAGATAAAGTTACTATTATTATAATTCAATTTGTTTTTAAGGGAAAGTTCTAAGAAAGCAAGCTATTCTACTTAGAAAAACATGACAAAACAAAACACATCCCCATATCAGTACATCATCAATCCATCCAATGCCTTCTACATATAGTCTAGGTGCTTTTCCAACTGCTGTTTTTTCACTGGGTCTCAAGGTAAGTGAGATGTCACTTGAGCCCTTTAAAGGGTGAATCTTAGGGATGCCTGGGTGGCTCAGTTGGTTAAGCATTAACTCTTGATTTCAGCTCAGGTCATGATCTCACTGTTGTAAGTCCCAGGCCCAAATCGGGCTCCATATTGACAGTGAGGAGCCTAGCTGGGATTCTCTCTCCCTCTCTTTCTGCCCACCCGCCCCTCCCGCCTCTCTCTCTCTCTCTCTCTCTCTCTCTCTCTCTCTCAAAATAAATAAAGAAACTTAAAAAAAATTAAAAAGTGAAAGGGGAATCTTCGTTTTCTACTACATTTTGGGTCCTTTGGACATTAGTCCCATTGGTTTTCCAAGCCAGGCATTTTGGGCGCTCATGTCTCCAATGTAGATCCCAGGGGTGGGGGTGCCTGATGAGATCCTTTGCTGTTGTGGGTTGCCACTCTGGGGCCGGGGTGTTGATGAGACCATGTCTCTCTGCCTCTCCTACCCATCTGGACATGGTCTTTTTATCCTTTGTTGTGGAGAAGCAATTCATCTAGTTTTCAGATCCTTTTCAGAGCTGTAGCTATAGATTTGGCGAGTCCGTAGAAGGCCGTGAGTTCTGGATCTTCCTACACTGCTGACTTTCACGAGTTTCCCCCCACCCCCCACTCCCACCCTGGAGCATTCTTTATAAGAACCAAGACACGGAAATAGCCTAAGTGTCCACCACCAACAGATAAATGGATAAAAAAATGTGGTATGTATAAAATGAAATGTTACTCAGCTGCACAAAAGAAGGAAATCTTGCCGTTTGCAATGACATGGATGGAATTTGAGGTCATTAAGCTCAGTGAAACAAGATAGACAAATACCACATGATCTCCCTTATATGTGGAACCAAAAAAATAAAATGAGCTCGTAAGTATAGATTGGTGGTTGCTAGAGGCAGTGGTGTTGGGGGGTGGGCAACATGGGTGAAGGTGGTCAAAAAAGCCAGATTTCCACTTCTAAAATAAATAAGTTGTGGGGATGTCATGTACAGCATGATACTATATTGCATAACTTGAAAGTTGCTAAGAGAGTAGATCTCAAAATTTCTTATCACAGGAAAATATTTCCTAACCATGTGTGGTTATGAGTGTTCACTAGAATTATTGTGGTGATTATTTCATACCGTATACAAATATCGAATCGTTACATAGTATGCACGAAACTAATGTGATGTTTATGTCAATTATACCTCAATTCAAGCAAAGAAAATAATACATTTTACACTCTTGCTCTTCTCCATCCTCCCTGCATAAATTTGCTGAAATTGAGCTTCTAATTGCTCCTATTATTTCCAATTTTCCTCCTCTGTATTTTTTTTTTTTTAATTCTGTTCATGGGAACCGAGAGTATTCTTGGTAAACTCATCCAATACAGCGCACAAGCTCACTTTCTTTGTATATTTTCTCAAGGTTACTAGATGACTGTGTTGATGATCTGGGTGCTTGTTAAAGCAAAGATTCCTGGACCCTTCTGTAGTCCTTCTGTATCAGTGTTTCTGAGTGTGGCCTCAGAATTTAAATTTCTAGAAGATTCTTGCACATACTAAAATTTGAGAGATACAAAGTTTTTTTTTTAACTTACTTTTATCAATAGTTTCTTTTGCTAAAATGGGAAAAGAAAATTTTGAAATCCACCAAGAGCTTGTTTTCTAGATGACAGAAAACAGAACAAGTACTTAAGAGTATCCACATACATTATAAAATCAAGTCCTTGTATTTTTTTTCTAAAAATCAAGACCTGTGGTCACTTTGAAGTGAGTCTGGACACAGTCTCTTTTTTAGTATCTTGATGAATTGTTCCTGAAGAAAAGAGAAGGTACAAGAGAAGGGCAAGAGGGTGAACCCTTCTTTCTTTTGAGGAGGTGAGAGCTAGACGCCCAAAGACCTGACTGTTCTGTAACCTTAGATGGATCCCTTTGTTTACGAGGAGTGGGGCCAGGGGGTAGTTACAGATACCTTATGTAAGGTTGAGCAAAAGAATCTCTAGTTTCCTTTGAGCACTAACAAACAATGTATCATTCTGGGGCACCTGGGTGGCTCAGTTGGTTAAGTGTCTGACTTGATTTCCACTCAGGTTATGGTCTCACAGTTGGTGAGATCAAGCCCTGCCTTGGGCTCTGTGCTGAGAGCATGGAGCCAACTTGGTATTCTCTCTCCTTCTCTCTGCCCCTCCCTGCCCCTCAAAATAAATGAAAAACATTAGAAAAAAATTTAAAACCCAGTATATCATTCTTCTTCTCTAGGGGAAGTATAAAGCTGAACCAAACAAGAGAAGATAGAAGTTCTCTTAAACAACAAATACTGAAGATGTATGCTTATAGCCAACTTTCCTCCTTACATTTTCTTTAAAAATAAATGATGTAAAATTACCATACAGCAGTGAAAAAGAATAAAATACACATCACGTTGGATACATCTCAGGAAATAATACTGAGTGAAAAAAAAATCAAGTTTCAGAAGAATTCAGCAATTCCATTTATATCAACTCAACACTTTCAAGACTAAACTACACGTTGTTTGAAGATATCAACATATATGCCAGTCTACAAAGCAAAACAACGGATGAGAAACCAAAATTCAGAGTAGTGGTTTTCTCCAGGGAGAAACATTATGGAGCGGCACATAGGCGCCCTCAAAGGGGTGGGCATGGGGGGGGGGGACACTCTATTCCTTATCCTGAGTGGTGGTTTCACGGTCCTCAATTTTATCGTAATTCATCATGCCTTATACGCATGTTACAATTATTCCTTTGTATCCAATCAGTTTTTCATGAAAACAATTAAAAACCAATCAGGAATGTATAATATTTTGATACATGGCATTGTATCAATTTTGTATTTTGTACAATTTTGTACAATATGTACAATGTTGTACATATTTTGATACATTTGCTCCTCTATTGTGTGTGTTTCCATGCTGTTTCTTTCTTTCTCTACAGACTTTCATGTTTAAGTAAATAGGCATTTCATGAGAAACATGAAACAGAACCCTGTACCTCGGGAGTTCTTAATGTAAAAACAAAACAGCATCAACAACACAAGGTAAGAGAACATCAACAAATATGTAACAGGTACCTTCGCTAAAGTAAACCAGAACTGTATAAACAGGGATTGTGTGAGGCATGTGTTTCTGCAAACAGAGAAAGTTGGTGCCAGATCTCCAAGTCATCATCCTGTGGCGCTATCATTAGCTCCTTCCCTTTGAGTAGCAAAAGTTCTTTTATTCACAAATATTAAAAATTTTGCCTTATTCTTCCCCACCCCCTTGGTCACAAATGCAATGATTCACTTTTTAAATATCATTATCCAGGCACTGCTTTGCGGGAACTATTCTCCAAAAGAACACCAGGTTACGAGGATGTTGAGGCTGGATTTCTTGGCCACACTGTTGAGCCCAGGAGTCTCCCACTGGTAGATCAGCGATTTTGCAGCTTTGGAAAATGTTAAATTAGTCATCAGGCACCTTCGCTGCAGTTGGCCAGGCTTCCCAGCTCATAGGAGATAAAATGTCTAGTGAGGTAGGGAAAACAAAACAGCGAGGCCCAAGGTTTTAGAACGTGTGAACTTTCTCCCAAGGCTAAACACCACCAACAATGACCACCCTGTTCCCCAACAGACAAACACACTCTACCTCACTCCCTCCTTCACTAAATCCCAGCCATGATTCAGATCCTGGAGATCACACAGCTGTGTGTGTTGGGGGGTAGACAGAAGGAGAGGGCGAGGGCAAGGGAGAGAGATCGGCTTCCTTAAGCATGTCTAACTTCTCCATTCCCCGGATTATACATGAAGTAAATCATTTCGTATCTCATGTAAGTGCACAGTGCAAGAATTTTGCTTCCCTGAAATGTGGCATCTAGCAGAGGTCACAATTAAAGTTGTAGTTACAAAATAGAATTTACTCAGTTCGTTTTGAGAGACGTGCAATAAATTTTGGGATTTGTTCTCTCTGCGAATGCGATGGAAATGCATTTAAAAGGCAAAAATCAAAGTAGCTCATGGGCGTTTATCCTAGAAAATGCAAAAGACAGCCACATCCTTTCTTGTATCTTGTTGCTATGGAAAGCTTCACAGTCTGGCTATGCACCCTAAACTGTCTTCAAAAATGGAATAGACAATGCAATAAAAGTGAAACTCATTGTTGGCCGAAGCATTTAAAACAGAGGTGGCATCTGATGATAAAATTCAAAAGTTTGCTCTTCTATTAAGATAGAAAATAAGTTTTTTCCATTCATAATTTTTATAAAGGCAAAGTCTCTTTTGTAGTTGTTTGAAAATAGAGTGACAAAACTGGATACAACAGGGCTAACATACATGATGCCTAAAAATGGATGTGGAGACATTCAGAGCAACTGAAGACGCATGGCTGAAAAGATGTGCACGGAATACCGACTTGAGGAATCTCATCATTCGGTGGCTTGTTACCAGATGCACATTTGTTTACACTGAAATGAAAGCAGAGAAACAGTTAAGTGCGTAAAGAAGGAAGACAATATCTTGTAGGAGCCCAGCCTTATATACAAGTCCAATTAGAGGACCCCATCATTAACATGATCAAAAGCAGCTGACATTTCTAACACAAGTTAAGATCTGAAAATCTGGGTGGAATTGCTTATGCTTCTATTCAGACTCCCAAAGAAAGACCCTATTAAGCCCAACTAAATTGCACCAAGTGGCTTAAAGAGGTGCCTGTCCGTTTTAATTTTCCTGACACTCCTCTCTGCAGCTTGGTCTAATAGTGATTGTATAGCACTATTAGGGATGCCTCTGCTAGGAAAACACAGTTGTCAGCGACTGCTTTATTATTTTGATGGTATGCAATAATTTCTCTCAGGGCTGTTGCTCCAGAAAAGGATATATTGGCCTGCTCTCTCAGCTCCTAATTAAGCAACGGTGAAATTTTATACTAATACCGGACTTAAAGGGAAGATTGGAAATGCATTTATCTTCCAAACTGACCTAATTATCATTAGTGTACTATTCTAAACATAAAGAAATCAATCCATTTTAGAAATAGATTTAATAATGCAATGCACTTTGTATTATGTTTCTGAAATCTCATTCTTGTTGGGTATTTAATACTTGCTTTCCCTTTTAAAATATACACTGGAGTGACTTTACGTGGGACTGTGACATTTTCAGGCACTTTTTTTTTTTTTGCATGAATTGCAAAAGTAGGTGCTATACAAATGCCATATTTCATCAGTAGCATGTTTTGCTTTTGAGGTGAGGAACCACTTGGAGAAACACTGAGTGGGTATAAATTAATCTCAAGGAAATCGGGAGTTCTTTTACAAACGGGACCATTTCAAAATTAGCAAGACAACCAATGTGAGAGAAGTAGCTGGGGAGTGAGATACAATGAAACAAACGCACAAACAAAATGGATTGATCACCGATCTGCCCTTTGAGGTATTTGTGTCAAATGTAGGCACAGGTCAGTGTTCTCTCTCAACGCCAGCTATTTTTATTCCCATCTTTGCCGAAATTTGGTGTTTTCCTGGCCCTGACCACTAACCTGTTGCAAATGCCCAGGGTAATCTGATTCCGCCTGTGTTCCTCCCTATCTCTCCTGACCACCCTGTCATTCCCAGTACTGCTGATTTTGATTCTTATCCTAGTTGATCAACTACCATTTCAGTTCCCACTGACCTCCTGTCGTTACCCTCAAATCGTTTCTTCGGTGCCTAAGCAAGGTGCTTCTAGCTTTCCAAGCTACTGTGAAACAAGAACCTCCAGACGCTGACAGGGGCTCTCCATACAATAGTTAATCAGCACCTTTGCTGTAGAGTGGACCTCACAGCTGCCAAGTGGCAGAGGCAGGATTTGAACCCAGGGCCAGCAAACTGCAAGGAGTCCTCTTTCTCCCTTTTGAGGCCACAGTCTCTAGGGAAAGACCTCAAATTGGTTTGGTGGAGTTATCAGCCCAGTCCCTAAGAAAGCGATGTGGTCTGCGTAGGGACCATCTACGGGAAATAAAGGGTGAGTCGCTAAGGATAGAATGAATTAACACATTTAGAGGTGAGGCCTGAGATACGTGAGAAGTTGGTGATGATGTCACAAGAGTCTTGTTTTTTCTTTTAATTTTTCATGTTTATTTGTTTTCGAGAGAGTGCGCGTGGGGCAGGGCAGAGAGAGAGAGAGAGAGAGAGAGAGAGAGAGAGACACACAGAACCCGAAGCAGGCTCCAGGCTCCACCCAAGGTGTCAGCACAGAGTCCGACGAGAGGCTCTAACTCGTCCAACTGTGAAATCACGACCTGAGCCAAAGTCAGACGCTTAACTGACTGAGCCACCCAGTTGCCCCGGTGTCAGATGAGCCTTATCCAGTATCTGAGTGGACAGTAGACTCTGGATCAATGAAAAGCCGAGCAGGGTTTAGGGCAGCGCTTCTCTACTGGGGGTGATTTTCATTCCGCCCTCCCCCAGCTGGGACCATTTGACAATGTCTTAGAGACGTTTTTGGTTGTCACGACGCGGAGGTGGTGATACCAGCATCTAGGGGTTAGAGGCCAGGGTGCAGCCAAACCTGCTACAATGCACAGGACAGCACCCTCTGCCGCCGACAAAAAATGATCCGGCTCCAAATGTCAATAGCTAGAAAGCCCAGGCCAGGGTGAGTTGAAGGTATCAGAGGGGGAGAATATTGCCTCAATATGGTGCATTGCACCACACTGATCTTTCTTTGTGGGGCCACGTGTTTTCACTTAATTACGTTCAGGGGGGTTGGATTTCAATGATCTTAAAATGAATGAAGTGATTTTCAGCTTGTTCACTTCTGACGGGATGACAGCCGATTCGCTATTCCGCTACAGACGGAAAGTCTTGGGTAGTGTCTCTTCGCTCGATGTCCTTTGACCCCGATGACTTTGAAGTAACTCCTCACTTACAAAGAGCACTCAGCTTCGTCTGTGATCGACACAACACCTCCACCCTCTCCGTTGTTTTTAAAGCATAAGTAAAACAGTGCTTCTTGGCATCCCCTCTTCTGTTTGTGTCCAATCCTATAGAACCTGGGATGCTGTTTTGGCTGGCGACAGGAGACAACTTCTCAGAACCCGGTATCACGCTCGCCAGACTTATCCTCTTCGTCCTCTGTGGGTTTCCTTTCAAAACACCACAATGAAATCATTCCTTTTCCCTCCAAGATGGAATCTCAGATATAGAAGAGTATTAGCGGCTCATATATTCATCAGGCTTTTTTTTTTTTTTTTGAAGATAAGGCTTCTTCTGTGTCGAATATGAAAAGGCATTTTAACGCTATCTCTCTGACTTATTCTCCCGTGCTTTTCCCTTCACACGTTCACATTATTCATAGCAACACCCGCTCTTATTTCTTTTTAAACAGTGTGGCTTTTAAGCCGGGCAGACC